TATATATATATATATATATATATATATATATATATATATATATATATATATAAGTAAATGTATTATATATTATATATAGTATCAACTGAATAAGTATTTTTTATTCTTAGATATTTTTTCTCTCTATGAAGACAAGGAAAATTACGATATACTATATTTTTAAACGATAACAACGGTCTGTCGCAATACTATTGCAATCGTGAAACTGATGGGGATGAGGAATGGAAGATCAACAAGGACGAACATGAGTTCAGTAGGCGTAGATCGTATCGCTTTTATTTTTAATTCTGTATACAATCACAGCAAGGAATCCAGTCTCTCGTAATTTATCGAATAAACTGTATGTAATCGTGTAGAAAGTAGTAGATCACTATCCCTGTATATATATACACACGACGCGCGTAAACATGGTTCTTTGAGTTCTCGATAAACACCCAAGTGTAGATCAATAAATGTAAGTCTTCCGAGCGTCGAAACAGTCCGACACTCCCATGACCTATTACGGCTAATTAAGCAACAATTGCAATTTGCACAAAAATTCCAGTCAAGGAATAATTAAGATAACAAAGAGAAACGTTTATCTGAGCTGATTGAAATCGAAATACATTTGAAATAAAGATCGAACGCGTAATACTTATTGAACATGCGAAACGGCACACACATCCGAAATGCGCAAGGAGCAATTGTCGAAAGATCCACCGCTCGAAATTTTTAAAATGCACGAATATTCGAAATGCACCACCTTCACAGCACCGCAGCGAAACGAACTCAAATGTGTCCAGTTCAAGTGACGGCTGCACTTCGATCGAGCAAACGTTGAGAGAAGCCTCACCGCGAAGTAATTTGAATGCGAGGGATGAGATGCGTTTCTCGATCGAAGGCAGTGTGAACTGTCAAACACAACACCTCTTTCACTCCCGGCTGTTTCTCACTGAGAACGTTGCAATCACTGTGACATTAACACCGTTGTGATGGACAGCACGATAACCACGGTTTTCCCTCGTTCCTGCGCCTTCGACTTCCAACTGATCACTATTAGCTAGACGTAGCGCGAAGTAGGGGCGTGGGTCTCGGTCACGCCAAGGATCCCCACCGAGTTACTCCGCGGGAGACTACTCCGAAGGAGGCTCATAAGCACCGCGAAATCCGCGAGTGTGAACGGCTCTTCTCACGCGACTACATTTAACATTATCCATTATCGCGATTTCGCGCGCCTCCTTGTCTATTAATGCTAATAATGTCGGGCGAGCGTCATCCCGTTGTCGTCACAACAACGTGGTATCTCACCACGTCTTGAAGGAGAAACGCCCACGCACTCTCGTCCGATGACAAATCCTTACTCAGACTATGCGAAAATAACACAGGGCTTGTGCACCTACGTGTTTTTACAACAGGCATCCAACGATCGCGCCTTATGTGTGATTGCAATGCGCGTTTAGCTGACATCTTTATTTTATTTAATGAGCAACGTCTATGTATTTGCGTGTGTAGCTTATAATGAGGGCGTCGTAATTTCTCAGCTATCTACTGACAGTATCGATCGCAAGCGTCTTTGTCGAGCCCGAAAAAGGCAGTTAAATATAATTGCTCATACATCATTATTAATAACCCGAATAATTCGTTTTTCTTCCAAGGTCGACAGTCTGGCGGATTGCCTTGATTTCTGCCCCGAGTCGTTAATTTGGCCAGAGTCCATTCGTCACGTTACTCCATAATTACGAAATAAATGCACTTGCGAACGTACAGTCAAACTCGAGATATTTGTGCAATTAATTTCGAATTATGTTAAAATTAAACTTTAGTGAGTTGCGATTTTATAAGAAAATTATATTATTGATTTAATGGCATGGCAGATTCGACGCAATGTGAACGAAGCTTTCGCTTAACTCGACATGCACGGCATGGTGTGAAACAAACAGTCGAGAACGTTCACAGTTGTTCAAAGCAGCTTCTCATGATAACTTGCAGAAAGGACAGATGTGCGCTACGCGGTTCCCGCGGAAACTGGCGCCGGCACAGAAGTAGATGAGAGATTTGGTCCAGATTCGAGGAAGGATATCGTCTTGAGGCCCTTGAGTCTCGACGAAAATGGTTTACCTGTTGAAGTACAACTTCAAGCAGGCGACGAGTCTCTACCTTGGCGAAAGGGACGCGTTCAGCATCGACCTCGAATTAGCGATTCGATGCCATGGCAGAAAGTAAAACCAAGAGATTCGTCCTTAGACAAGCTCCGAGCCTTCGAGAGCCAGATAAAACCATGGACTGAGGAAGAAGTAGTTTTGAAGAAAACTCCGCAGATTGCCAAGGATGTAACGAAGGAAAAACTGGAAGAAGTCGAGTTGAGGCCGTCGAAGATCGAGAAGAAAGAAATTCAAGCAACTGATCTTGAAACTGTCAAGTTGAAATCCGTGCCTAAAGATACAACAAAGATCGTCGAAACTGAGGAAAAAATTGCACGTACTGACGATACCGCAACTCAACTTTATTCGGAGGAAACAGATACCACTCTTTTGAGAAAATCACGTCGTGTGGATAAAACTTTGTTGAAGAAGGAGAAAACTGAGGAAGGAAAACCATGGACAGAAGAGCAAGTAACTTTGAAGAAAACAAAACCAAAAAATATCACGGAAGAAGATACTGTGAAAAAGATGGATTATGTTGAACAGGAAGATACTTCTTTGCTTACCACTTTAAAGGAGGAAGAAATGATAAAGATACAGAAGGAGCAGCTTGTTCCAGAGAAACTAGAACAGCCAAAATCATGGATAGAGGAAAAGATCGCCCTGAAAAAGGCAAAACCAGAAAGAAAGGAAGCGCCTAAAGAGACATTAGAGACCGTCTCATTGAAACCTTCAAAAATAGTGAAGAAAGACATTGCAAAGCCAACTATAGAAAAGGTAGATCTCAAACCAGTTCCAACCGAAGGATCTGAAATAATTTCAGTGGAAGAAGACGTTTCACGTGTTGACATTACCACAGTCAAAGAAACGAGAAGGGAAAGCAAAGAAATAGATAGAATAATCATAGATCAGACCAAACCGTGGACAGAGGAGAAAATTACATTGAAGAAATCCAAACCTATCCGAAAAGAAATAGAGAAAGAGGTGGTAGAAACGACAGAATTGAAACCATCTAGACCAGCCAAATCGGTAGTCCAGAAGCCAAGTTTAGAGAAAGTAGATTTGAAACCAGTCACAAAAGAAAAGACGGATGTAAGTGTTACAGAAACCACTGAGAAGGTCGGTTATGTTGAACAGGAAGATACTACGTTACTTCAAGTTTCCACTGAGACGCAGGATGTTACCAAGATGAAACCATCAAAGAAACCAACACGCAAAGATGTAGCACCATATGCTGCGGAAGAAGATATTGCCCTGCTTAAAGTTACATCCGAACGAGAAACCACAATTAAAGTCGACAAAAAACCAAAGAAGGAAGAGGAAATCCCACAAAAAACATTGCAGACTAAACCATGGACGGAAGAAAAAGTGATGTTAAAACGGACAAAACCGGAGCAAAAAGAAATACAGAAGGAGACTTTGGAAGAAGTATCGTTAAAACCAGTACAAAAAGTAGAGAAAGTAGTATCAAAGGAGGAAGTAGAAAAAATCGATTTGAAACGTGTCGAAGTAAAAACTACGGAAGATATTGAAGAGAAGAAAACCACCGTTGTAAAACTCGATGTTAAAAAGCAACAGGATAAAACACCGTATCACGAAGAAGAGGATAAGGCTATTCTCGAAGTAAGTAAAGATGTAGAGTCTACTAAGAAAAGAACGTTAGAAAAAACTGTTCGACCAAAAGATGAGAAGCAACCCGTCACAGATGTACCATACACAGAAGAGGAAGATAAAATGATCCTCGCAATCGATAAAACCGATGAAACAACTGTAAAACAAATAAAAGAGGAGGTATCTCTACCGTGGATTAGAGGAAAGAAAGCGAAAGAAAAGAAACAAGTTGAAGAGAAGCCGGAAGAGACTCTTCCAGTACTCAAGATTCCTTTCAAAGACAAACCACGAAAAATAATTGAGCAGAAAGAAGAGCCAATCGAAGATATACGAGCGGTAACGTTGAAACCAATGAAACGTCCGGAACGAACTCAAGAAGTTGTCGAACAGGAGAAAATCGAATTGAAACCGGTACAACGTATACCAAAAGTAGAAAAAGAGAAAGAAGAAATTGTACTAAAGCCCATTCCAAAGCCGAAGGTCGACGAAAAAGAAATAAAGTTGGAACCGTCTCAAGTAAGTAAACCTGAAGAGAAACCAGAAGAAGATAAGTCTTCAGAGATTTCAGAAGCTCCTTGGCGTCGTAAACCAAAGCCTGTGAAAATTCAGAAAATTCCAGATACAGAAGCACCAGAAGAAGAGAAGTTTAAGGAACAAGTAGAGTTGCCTTGGAAACGTGGAAAGAAACCAGCCGTTGTTAAATCAGAAAAACCAGAAGAGGAAGTGAAAGAAGATATTAAGGAGATATCCGAAATAACATGGCGAAAACCTAGAAAAGATAAAGAGATCAAAGTTGTTAAAGAAGAACCGCCAATTGAAGACATTACATCCATTAAGTTAAAACCGACAAAACGGCAGGAGAAACTGGAAGAAAAGAAATCGATGGAAGAGATTGCTCTCAAACCAGTAAAACGTACAACTAAAGAACAAGAAGAACGTGAACAAATAACTCTCAAACCATTCGTAAAAGAAAAAGAAGAAATAACTTTAAAACCAGAAAAAGTTAGCGAAATTATTAATGGCGAAGTACCTACTGAGAAAACAGAATTACCATGGAAACGTGGAAAGAAACTAGTGCCAAAAGTAACACAGGAAGTGGAAAAACCTAAAATCGAAGAAATAACACCCGAACCGATTAAAAGAATTGAAAAGCCAGAGAAACTTGAAGAAAAACCTGAAGTTGTTCAGCTGAAACCAGTGAAAAGAAGAGAGAAACCAGAAGAACCAAAACCCGAGGAAGTCGTATTAAAACCTGTGAAAAGACTTCCTAAAGAAGAGGAAACGAAGGAAGAGATTAGCTTGAAACCAGTGGAAAGAAAGAAACCGGAGGAGAAACCGGAGGAAGTTAAATTAAAACCAGTGAAACGAATAGAGAAACCAGAAGAACCAAAACCCGAGGAAGTCGTATTAAAACCTGTGAAGAGACTTCCTAAAGAGGAGGAAACGAAGGAAGAGATTAGTTTGAAACCAGTGGAACGAAAGAAACCGGAGGAGAAACCGGAGGAAGTTAAATTAAAACCAGTAAAGAGAATAGAGAAACCAGAAGAACCAAAACCTGAGCAAGTCGTATTAAAACCTGTGAAAAGACTTCCTAAAGAGGAGGAAACAAAGGAAGAAATTATCTTGAAGCCGGTGGAAAGAAAGAAACCGGAGGAGAAACCAGAAGAAAAACCGGAAGATGTTCAGCTGCAACCAATAAAAATAGAGAAACCTGAAGAATCAAAGCCCGAAGAGGAAAAACCAACAGAGGTGATGGAAATGCCGTGGCGGCGTGGAAAGAAACTAGTACCAAAAGTAACACAGGAAGTGGAAAAACCTAAAATCGAAGAAATAACACCCGAACCGATTAAAAGAATTGAAAAGCCAGAGAAACTTGAAGAAAAACCTGAAGTTGTTCAGCTGAAACCAGTGAAACGAATAGCGAAACCAGAAGAACCAAAACCCGAGGAAGTCGTATTAAAACCTGTAAAAAGACTTCCTAAAGAGGAGGAACCGAAGGAAGAGATTAGCTTGAAACCGGTGGAACGAAAGAAATCGGAGGAGAAACCGGAGGAAGTTAAATTAAAACCAGTGAAACGAATAGAAAAACCAGAAGAACCAAAACCCGAGGAAGTCGTATTAAAACCTGTGAAGAGACTTCCTAAAGAGGAGAAAACGAAAGAAGAGATTAGCTTGAAACCGGTGGAAAGGAAGAAACCAGAAGAGAAACCGGAGGAAAAACCCGAAGATGTTCAGCTGAAACCAATTAAAATAGAGAAACCCGAAGAATCAAAGCCCGAGGAGGAAAAACCAACAGAGGTGATGGAAATGCCGTGGCGGCGTGGAAAGAAACTAGTACCAAAAGTAACACAGGAAGTGGAAAAACCTAAAATCGAAGAAATAACACCCGAACCGATTAAAAGAATTGAAAAGCCAGAGAAACTTGAAGAAAAACCTGAAGTTGTTCAGCTGAAACCAGTGAAACGAATAGAGAAACCAGAAGAACCAAAACCCGAGGAAGTCGTATTAAAACCTGTGAAAAGACTTCCTAAAGAAGAGGAAACGAAGGAAGAGATTAGCTTGAAACCAGTGGAAAGAAAGAAACCGGAGGAGAAACCGGAGGAAGTTAAATTAAAACCAGTGAAACGAATAGAGAAACCAGAAGAACCAAAACCCGAGGAAGTCGTATTAAAACCTGTGAAAAGACTTCCTAAAGAAGAGGAAATGAAGGAAGAAATTACCTTGAAACCGGTGGAAAGGAAGAAACCGGAGGAGAAACCAGAAGAAAAACCGGAAGATGTTCAGCTGAAACCAATGAAAATAGAGAAACCTGAAGAATCAAAGCCCGAAGAAGAAAAACCAACAGAGGTGATGGAAATGCCGTGGCGGCGTGGAAAGAAACTAGTGCCAAAAGTAACACAGGAAGTAGAAAAACCTAAAATCGAAGAAATAACACCCGAACCGATTAAAAGAATTGAAAAGCCAGAGAAACTTGAAGAAAAACCTGAAGTTGTTCAGCTGAAACCAGTGAAACGAATAGAGAAACCAGAAGAACCAAAACCCGAGGAAGTCGTATTAAAACCTGTGAAAAGACTTCCTAAAGAAGAGGAAACGAAGGAAGAGATTAGCTTGAAACCAGTGGAAAGAAAGAAACCGGAGGAGAAACCGGAGGAAGTTAAATTAAAACCAGTGAAACGAATAGAGAAACCAGAAGAACCAAAACCCGAGGAAGTCGTATTAAAACCTGTGAAAAGACTTCCTAAAGAAGAGGAAACGAAGGAAGAAATTAGCTTGAAACCAGTTGAACGAAAGAAACCGGAGGAGAAACCGGAGGAAGTTAAATTAAAACCAGTAAAGAGAATAGAGAAACCAGAAGAACCAAAACCCGAGGAAGTCGCATTAAAACCTGTGAAAAGACTTCCTAAAGAAGAGGAAACGAAGGAAGAGATTAGCTTGAAACCAGTGGAACGAAAGAAACCGGAGGAGAAACCGGAGGAAGTTAAATTAAAACCAGTGAAACGAATAGAGAAACCAGAAGAACCAAAACCCGAGGAAGTCGTATTAAAACCTGTGAAGAGACTTCCTAAAGAGGAGGAAACGAAGGAAGAGATTAGCTTGAAACCAGTGGAACGAAAGAAACCGGAGGAGAAACCGGAGGAAGTTAAATTAAAACCAGTAAAGAGAATAGAGAAACCAGAAGAACCAAAACCCGAGGAAGTCGTATTAAAACCTGTGAAAAGACTTCCTAAAGAAGAGGAAACGAAGGAAGAGATTAGCTTGAAACCAGTGGAAAGGATGAAACCAGAGGAGAAACCGGAGGAAAAACCCGAAGATGTTCAGCTGAAACCAATTAAAATAGAGAAACCTGAAGAATCCAAGCCCGAGGAGGAAAAACCAAAAGAAGTAACAGAAATGCCGTGGCGACGTGGTAAACGAGTTAAAAAAGTCGTCGATTTCAGAGATGAAGTTACCGTAGTGCCCATCGACCAAGAAGAATCAGTTACAGAAGTTAGCGAAGAGAAAGAAACAGTGATAATTACAACGAAAGATATAGAAGAAAAGATTGAAAAGAAAGTAGAACCAATTCAATTTCACGAAGAAAAACAAGTAACCGAGGAAGTGGTTGCAACAAGCGAAGTTTCGTGGAGAAAGAAAAAGCCAAAGCCAATAAAATTAGAAGAGGAAAAAGAAACTGTTGTATTGAAGCCCGTCGAAAAAGCAGAAAAATTAGAACCTAAGAAACCCGAAGAGCATGTCCCGACTATAGTTAAAGAGGAAATATTAACCGAGGTAATTGAAAAGGACGTGATTCAACCGAAACCCGTTCTCCAGAAAATTGAGAAAGAAAAAGTAATAGAGGAAGTTAAATTAAAGCCGGTAATTAAAGAAGTCACGGAAGAAAAACCAAAGGAAGAAAAAATTATCGAGTTAAAACCTGTGCAATTGGAGGAGCAAATAATGAAAGTGGACGAGAAAGATGAAACTGTTACTGAAATAACTAAAATAAAAAAGAGAAAAGAGAAGATCGTGCCTATTGTCGAAGAGAAAGAAAAAATTGTCACAGAAATAGAGGAAGTTAAAGAAATCGAGGACATCGAATTACAAGTTAAGAAAGATGTCACGCAAGTGGAAGACCGTAAGAGGAAACGTAGGCCACGTGCTCAGGTTGACATTACCATTGTAGATAAAGACAAGACTATCGCTCCGCGATTTATACAAAAGTTGCAGCCTGTTATTGTGGAGTTTGAAAAGCCTGCCAAGTTCACGTGCACTGTCATAGGAAATCCCTTCCCCGAAATTACTTGGTATAAAAATGAACAAGAACTCCATGCCAGTGAAAAGTATATCATGACAATATATGAGACAACAGCGGCTTTGGAAATTACAAAAGTAAAAGAAGAAGACGCTGGACTATATTCTTGCAGAGCTTCCAATCCAGCTGGAGTGGCAACATCCACTGTCAATCTCGTGATATTCGGTAGTAATATTATTGGGTGTGAAATCTATCTAACCTTTTGATTTTGATTAGAACTTGAAGGAAATGACTTACATTTTATTGAATTTTCTATTTTTATAATTCCTATAGTATTATAATTTTCCCTACTCACTTCTTTTCATTTACATTTCTTTTCTATTTCTTTTCTATAGTGCTAGTTGCACGCACTGAATGTCTCCCATGATTTTCATATATATCAACTGTTTTAAGTTAAGAAACTCTTTTCCTATTAAATCCAGATTAAGTAACAATGGTTTGCAGAATGTAAATGTCACATGTGATAAGGCACGGTGTGTACTAATTGGATTATCCTTTACCTCTAATTAATCACGTGTTATACGTCTTTTTAGAAAAAGAAGAGGAGGGCATAGCGCCACATTTCCCAACGCCAATCAAGCCGTTGGTGGTCGAAGAACACAAACCTGCTCTGCTAGAATGCGTTGTGACTGGTACACCGATGCCAGAGGTGAAGTGGTACCGCGGTGAGAAGGAAGTCAAGCCAAACGAAAGGACCGAAATGACGTTCAACCCGACAACTGGAGAAGCCAAACTTAGAATTTTGGAACCGACTCCTGAGGATGAGACGATCTATCGCGTTCGCGCCGTGAATAAATTCGGTCGTGCTGAATGCAGAGCTAATCTGGTGATCAGTAACATTGTGAAAGTCAGCAAACCAGCTGTCCTCAGAGCACCACGTATCACGCGACCTTTACCTGCTCTCGTAGCGGAGCGCGGTAAACCGCTGAAGCTGTTCGCTGACTTCGAGGGTGTACCCAAGCCAGATGTCAAGTGGTTCCGTAATGGCGTTGAAATCACACCGACCGACAAACGCAAAATAAACGTCTACGAGAGCACGACCGAACTTATCATATCGGATGTCACAAAGAAGGATGGCGGCAAGTACGAGATCAGAGTCCAGAATGAAGTTGGCGAAGCGAGAAGTTCCAGCTCCGTTTCTGTGAAAGAACGCGAGGATACCACGAGCGAGGTACAAGCACCGAGGTTCGTGGAGCCGGTTCAACCTCAACTCGTCGCAGAAGGAGAAGTCGTTATCATGGAGACAAAAGTAGAATCTTACCCAACGGCATCCTTCCAATGGTTCCACGAAAGCAAACCTCTTGAGGTATGTGTTTCAAGCATTGTTGCACTGCAAATCCCAGTATGTCATTTTGGCTAAATTTCTTTTTACATATTTTTTATCGTTTTAAATTACGTCATCTAACACATTTCAACATAATAAATTTATCCGTCTTAAACGTGCTGAATGTCGTGATTTAAAGCCGCAAAAAACGTATAGAAAGAGCTTCAATCACATTATATGCTTATGCATTTGAATATAACATACTTGGATTTGTAGTGTACCCTCATATTCGTTCGAAATAATTTGTTGCCTTTTACGATATGAAATACTAACGATGGAACGATGTGTTCTCTGGGATCAGGTTCAATTAATGGAGAATATAATTTTCGTTGCAGTCGACACCGCAGGTAAGGATCGTGACTCAGGAAAATAGATCGATTTTAATGGTGAAGCAAGTCACACCGGAACTCACCGGTACCTACACTTGTCGTGCCGAAAACGTCGGCGGCTCGGTCACCTGCACGGCTACCGTGAACATCACGGAAATCAACTGGGAAGAGGCAGTTGAATTGGTTTCGCCGACGTTCGTCAAAAGGCTCTCGCCTGTGAGAGTTATGGACGGCGAGAGCGTTAATTTAACCTGCGTCGTTGAGGGGAAGCCCACGCCTAGAGTCGAATGGTATCATAATGACAGGCCGATCAAAGAAGGCAAGGAAATCACGATTGTTCAAGACACAGAGGGTATCTGCAGCCTAGCCATCACCGAAGTATTCCCGGAGGATGCTGGAGAATACACCTGCCGCGCTGTGAATCCTGTTGGCGAAGCCGTGTGCAAGTCATCGCTCGTCGTTGAAGGTATGCGCGTTATTCAACGGCGAAAAGTATTTCGGAATTTGCGATAGTTGTACATGATTATGAATAAATTCGTTTCCAGCCTACGAGTACGTGCCAGACTCGGAAATTGCATCATCGATAGTCGCGACATCTCTTACTACTGGCTCGGAAGAAGATCTTCTATCACCGAAGGTAAGTACAGGATCTAGCAATGTAAGATTCTAGGTAGTACGATGTTGAAAATTGTGTTCTGTTCGCAGGAAACTCCTATCTTCGACACCGACGTGGAAGAATTCGCACCAGAAATAACCAAGAAGCTTCCTCAGTTAGTTCCCACCAAAGACGGGGAATTAACCAGGTACGTTTAAGAGATATTCGACAAATACGTAATTTAGGTTAAACGACGCATACATCTTGACACGAAGCTTTAATAAAACGTTAATAATTCGGCGAGTATATCTAAACATTAATCGCTAACTTTTTTCATTCAGATTGGAAGTAAAAGTGAAAGGTAAACCAAAACCGGAAGGAAAATGGTACAAGCAAGGCGTAGAGATTGTTTCGTCGCAAGAATTTTTAATAGAGGAATTCGAAGATGGCACATCGGTGCTAACGATCGCCGAAACTTTCCCCGATGACACCGGTGAAATCGTATTTGAAGCTCACAATCCACTCGGGGTATCGACTACGACGGCATATTTATCAGTAGAAGGTAATATCTTCTCCTTAAAAGTTTCTAAGAATTTCGCTGATCTGTTTAAGTCGAGTTGTTTTCAGCTGCATCTTTTGAACGGAGAAATGTCATCGAAGCTTTCTTCCTATATAGTATCCCGGTAAAAACCCCGTTGAAACATTCCCCATTTCCGATGACATCAACACTCACAACATCCTCGATTTACACTTTGTCTTCATCGCAAATTCTATTTAAGTCCACGAATCTCTTTGGCCCCTTTCGAATTCGTCTATCCATTCAAATGATAACGGGATCAAAGCGATTCGACGTGCGTTCTTCTTTCTAATGATCATTTTATCGATCAGGTATAATCGGGACGAAAGCATACCGGAAACCAGAATGGGTCACGCAGATGGAGGAAATGCAAGAAGCACTGAGAGGTAAGAATCGCGTTCATCGGCTGGACGTGATCGATCGCATGCCGAGTGATGCAGAGTGTAGCTTTTCGAGTGACAGTCTAGACGATCGTGCAATTAGAGACGAAAGCTCTCAGATAGACAGCTCGACAGTGATCAGTGAATTTTCGTCAACAAAGACTTTAATGAACATCGGTGACGAAGATGCAGCTGCTTCAAAGGAATACCTCTTGTCGAGAAGATACTCGGATTCCACGGGAATCGAAGAGAATGCCACTGAAATAAGGTACTCTTGGCAAATTGACACTTCTCAAAAGAAACAAAGTCCGGCGGAATTTGACCTAGAGGCGCGATTACAACACAAAGAACGTGTTGAACAACACATTGAAGCTAAATATGTTTTAAACACGATGCCACTAGAAAATAAGAAGAACACGCTTGCCAAGTCCATGGCCAGCAAAATGGCGAAATCCGGCTCCGCTATCGAGAAATCACACACTATATCAGTAATTGAATCAAAGAGTGCCGCTACGTCAATTTCAAAGAACATTGTAGCTTCAGAAATGAGACATGAAAAGCGCAAGCAGAGCGTAAAAATGTCGAGCGTGCCAAAACAGTTGTCTTCAGTCGCGACAGAAAGTGCCAAGTATGTTGCTCGAAGAAAAATCGTTGGAAAACCACTGGCGAGCGTCGAATTTTCGAGCCATGAAGAAAAAAAACCCAACAAGGTCTGCGAGGACTGTTCAATGTTTGGTGAAATTTCCGCGGGCGTTTCAGCAAAGAGTAAAAAGAGGAAAATCGTTCTCGATTTCGGCGAGTTTCCGCCTCCGAGGCACGAAAGAAGGATTCAAGGACCAGAAACCTCTCAGGCAAGCGCTAAAACGTTTCCAGATAATCAAAAGTTACCATTCCATCTATTGCCGATCGAAGAAAGCGAAATCCCAAGTGACCGAAATAAGTCATATGTCGAAACTGTTGCCGAGAAGCCCGTGATTAAATCGACTTATAGCTATAGAAGGAAGTATCACACATATCCCAAGTCGAGAATTCCAGTTCCGAAGTACTCGAAGGAGCGACGATTCGACAATTACCCCGCAGACCCGAGAATGTTCCCGTTGGAACCGAGAGAAATCGACCTGGAGTCTTTTCAGCAATTGCACACAGCAGACAGCCAGGAGGAGTTACAAGAGTTCCTACTGCTCGAAAGCCAATGCAGCGGAAATCTCGGCTTGGCCGGCAATATGTCCGAGACATCTTACGACGAGCGCCATATCGAAGACGAGAGGGGTTCGATGTCAGGTAGAATGTCGCTTAAAACTAACGATAGAGATGTGAAGTTTCGAAATAATTCTGCATGAATTTCTCTGTGTGTTTTTGTCTAACCAGATTACTGACATCAGGTTTGCGCGAGCGACCTTCACACCGGATGCAGTATTAGGTAAGAGAATTTCATATTGTCTGATTTGTTTTCGTGTTGCAAAGGTGCCTACGTAATAATATGATAAAAAACTTAACAATACGTGATCTTTCAGCCACGCAAGCTGTCCCACGATTTATCCAAGAGATTACGGACATTTATACAAAAGAAGGAGACACCGCTTTGTTTGAATGCGTCTATTCTGGTAACCCCAAACCAGGTAATTGTTTTCATATAAAACGATGCAAACGTTGACTGTGAAGTCGCGCGAGACTTTTTATTTTTGTTTTTTTCTCAACTTCCAGATATTATTTGGTACAAGAACGATAAGCTCATAATGAACACGGAGAACGTGAAGATACGTATATTCGAGGAAGATAAGAGGACCACTCTGACGATCAAGCGGTCTACCAGAGAAGACGACGCCACGTATGTTTGCAAAGCCACTAGCGAAATCGGCATGACAATAACAAAAGCCAAACTGCATGTCGATACTACAAGTGAAGCAAGACCAAAGCCAGAGGACATAGTCCAGGAAGAAGAGAAAGTTGAAATAAAGCCGAAGAAACAGGAGGAGAAACTGCATAAAAAGAAGAAAATTGAATTAAAGAAGGCGAAGGAAATCAAAGAGAAAGTCAAGGCTGAGCGTGTCAAAGTGGAGACAGAAGAAATTCACGAAGAGAAGCTTGTACCAAAAGAACAGACGGAAGAAAAGTTAGTCATCATACATTTCGTGTTAACAAGATTTATTTGTACCGTTTATAAATTGTAATACTTGCTTTTTGCATTTTTAGGAGAATCGTTGATGTAGAAGAGACTCAACTATTGGAAACCACGGAAATCATCAAGGAGAAGAAACCAGAGGAGGTATTATGACGATTATGCAATTTCTATACATTAACAGAAAAAATATCTAAATAAGAAATATTTATTCGATGTGTGTTAATGATATATTTTCTTTTCTACTAAAATTTGTATATTTTAGGTTTCGAGAGCACAAAAAATAATACCGATCCAGGAACCGGTTATGACCGAAGCAACGGCTTCTTTGAAGAAAATTGACGACCGGAAGCCGCGAGAAGCGCCGAAACTTGAGAAACGCGCCAAACCGATCATCGAAGAACGCGAAAGTGTAGTTGTCGTTTCGGAAATCACGAGCGAAGACACAGCCCCTGACTTCACCGTCGAGACGAAGGTCGATCGCGCTCGGGTCACCTCAGAGACCTTGCAGAAAGTTTCGGTTGTCGAAACGCACGTCGAGACCAGTGCGCAAGAAGTGAAACGCACGGAAGTGAAACAGAAGAAAGTTAAGAAAGTGAAAGCGGAGAAGATTCAAGAAGACATCACCGTACAGGAGATTGTAGAGCGACAGAAGGAGCATATAGCTCGCGAAGTTGACGAGATAATGGAGTTATTAGACGTGAAAGAATTTGGCCCGGGAGAATCTCCCCTTCGGGAACTCGCAACAATCGGCTATCTGGTACGACAAGGCGTCTCCGTGAACGAGATCAACGAGTGTCTCTACAGAACCGAGATCTTCCCTGCTCTGAAGACACCCGACGCTCAGAACGCTTTGGTTCAGTTGGTAGAGAGGAAGGGCTACGGAGCGTTGATCAGCCAAGTACTCACCGAGGAGACGACGACCGACGAGAGCTTCGTCGCGGCGACGGTCGGTTTTCGCGCTTTCATGAGAATGGTAGAGCTTCAACACGCTACTGTAGAAGAGGTCATCACGCACTTCGCTCCGGAAGACTTCAGACCACGTGCTTGGGAAGTCACGGAAATTTCAGAGGTATGGAAACAGTTCTCATCGGGAAATATAAAATTTATATTAAATCCTTTTCTATTCTTTCTTCTTAGATCGAGACCGAGCAACGTGCTACGGAAAGAGTGGACGTCATTCGCGAAACGAAAATTCATTTCATGGGTAAGCCGATACAACAAGCTGTGCAGTTTTCCTACGAAAAGAACACATCGAAAGTTCTGCATGCGCACACACGAGATTCAGATTTATTTGTAACTTTCTTTTCAACAAGTTAACAATCTCCATTTCAAGCGTGCTCAAGTGTTCGACAGCTTTTCAAGCGATAATGATATTAATCGATCTGTACGTTATTTCACACGTGCGTTAGGTATTTTTTTCGCTATAGTCCGTTCTGAATTTTCCAAAAGAGTAAGAATTTTTTGATTACAGAGAGGAGAGATGAAAGGAAAGCCACTCACGTGCAGGATATTCGAGAAATTAAAGGTTCGGAACAACGAATTTCAGTGCATGGCGTATCTATAAATCGTATAAGCTATTTTGTCGACGAGTCGGTGCCCGCTGTAATAAATAGTGCTTCCGCCATTATTTCGCATAATCTTACCGTTGTTGCACGGTCGACGCCACATTGCGTCACCGTCATTTGAATGATTTCGAGACAGAGATAGACGCATGTCTCTCTGCGACAAATTTCATCGATCTTTCAGTTGGGGGCTCGTTAATTTTGCAGATATTTAACTGCATTTGTGAATCTGAACAATGAAATTTTCATATTCTCGAAATATTTTCTCGCCCATATATATAGGTATGTTAAGATATAGAGAAAAGCAAAAAGTGTGCATTGTGATCGTAAGACAGGCTAATTATAGCTGCTGTAACGATCGTTATTGTTTTATTATGCTTTCAGATGCACGAAGCTTTACTTGATCGAATAATAGCAGTGAGATTTTTCTACTTACGCCGCTATGCTTTCCACACGCACGACACATCTCACCCTACTCATTCCACTACACAATATTCCCCTTCGTCACTTTTTTAACCACCCTATGAACTCTACTTTGCGTATCAGCTTCGAAAATCAACGCTTCGCGATTCGACGCTCATTTGTGCTACGCCAATTCTGACTTAAAATGTAAGTGCTGTACATTTTTATCGACATCTCGCTCGCGACACAAAATGATATAAGGTGCATGAAAAGTGCAAGCATGGTCGAAAGTAACGATGATACTAAACCGTTTTTACATTTATTTACACATCTCTGGAAACTCGAGCGATTGCCACTTATTTGTTTGTCAAGCACGTTCAATGTCTTAGCAACACACGCATCTTTAATCGTGGCATGAGGTATGCGAAGAAACGAGAGATGGATCGAAGCTGTCTTACTAAGCACTCGCTTGCAACCATGTCATTCTGCGTTTCTTTCCTTCCAAGAAAGATACACAGAAATGATATGGTCGCTCTCGGAACATCTAGCTCGACAGCTTCGAGATCGGTAGAGAGAAAGGAAGCGAGGTAGAGCGAGAGTGAAAATGTCACGCAACACTCGCGTCTGACACAAAATTCTCACATACTTTCCACAGAATACGAGGACACACGGCAGGCACACACAACACTCCGCAAACGCAAAGACAGGACACTGCGGGATCAAATCGAAGAAACCACACAAGATAGGGAAGAGGGGGTTCAGATTGTAAAAGTCGAGGAGGTCGAGGATATTGAGAAGGAAAGAAAGAAGGAGGAGGAGGAAATCGAGGAAGAGATTATTGTACTAGAACGGGACTCGAAGGGCAGATTGATTCGTAAGCAAAAGGAGGACGTGGAGAAACAGATCGATGTTCTGGAAGAGGAAGAAACGATCGAGAGAGTAAAGAAGGCAATGATGCCGAAGAGACCGGACATCGGTAAAGACGAAGTCGAACTCGAAGAAATCGAAGAATTCGAGGTGATAAAGGACCAATCGTTGCCGTCTATAGCTTTGAACGTGTCGAGTCAACGAAACCAAGTGATACCGCTGGATCGTACGGTCGAGCAGGCACCTGGCAAACCTGAATCAGAGAAGGCAAAATATACGTTGGACACTGTTATTGCGTTAACTGAGCAGACTACGTCGATACATGAGAAAGAGGTCGACGACGTCATCAGCGTTAAGCCCGTCGAACGCAACGCATCGGTGTCAATCTCACCGGTGGAACCGTACTCCACTACTGAAACTACTGCGCACATATCCACGGATGAATTTTCAGGCACCTTCAAGGCCGCCTCTTATGAGGCTACGTCTTCTGTAATAACAAAGGAGGGTCTTCTCATTAGTGAAACGTTGTCGCACGGCGACGATCTGTCAAATTTAACTCTAACTACGCCAGAAACAAGCCGGAAGGCGGACGTACAAGTCACTGTGCAAGAAGCCGCGACCATCAGCGAGACCATTATCAACCAGAGCGAAGTACCCACGGAGAATTTCGTGGCACCCTTAACCGCGAAAGCGGAGGACACTGTGTTACCGCAAATCGGACTGTCGGTTTATGAGGTTCAGGAGGGCTTGAGCGAAGATAAGCTGGAGCCGGCGAAAACGGTCACCACGAAACCTAGGATCAACATCAGCGCTGTCGAGCCGATAGTAGTGGAGGAAGTTCGTCCCGAGGATAAGCCGGGAAAATATTATCCGGAGTTGATAGTACCCACCGAGGTCGCTACTGAAACAGTGATCTCGCAGAAACAACGCGTGACTGAAGAGATGAACGCGCCGGAGAAAGAAGGGGCTTATATTCCGGGTAGATTGCCGCCGAGTCAAACAGCCCAAGTCGGGATTTCCTACGGAAACGAAACGGCTGTGATCCACCACGACCTTGTGCAAGAGCGCGAGGGCGAATACGTTCCCGGCCGTAAAGTGGACTCCTTCGAAGCCACGCCAAATGTCACTCTTCTGGAGGGTGTCACGATCTCGACGATCGATACGCAACAAAAGGAAGGCGATTTAACGATCGAAGAGGACAAACGGGTTACGGCGGATCTTAATGTCGTCGAGATCGTGTCAGCCGTGACAGTGGAGACGACAGCTTCCGAGAAGGAGCGAGACTATCATCCCGAGGAGAAGCCTACCGGTAAATTGGCGGTCACGTCGATATCCTCGTTAGAAATTGGATCTGTAACAGACACTATTGTTCAAGAATCCGAGGGAACCTACAGCGCCGATCAGAAGCCATTGCAAGCGTTAGCTGAGACATCGGTCCGACCGGAGGAACATGTTCTGATATCTCAAGTTCAAACTGCGGATTACCCGGCAGATTTGAAAGATACATTGAAATACGTTTCGGAGAGCGGTGTCGTGTCGGTCCAATTGACTGAAGCGAAAACGGTACTCGAGACTCTCGCTCACGATCGAGAGGCGCTCATGGAGAAGGACACCAAACCGGAAACCCAAACGGTGGAGACAGTCTACGACGCTGTCAGGAGTATCGAAGTATCGCAAACTACTTCCATAGAGAAAGAGACCGAACTGAAGATCTTTGAGATGCCGGAATCGCACCATGGCAAGACAGTCCCAACCCATCCAATGATTTCGCTCGAAATCCAAGAAACGCAGCCGGAAAGTAACTTGGGTGAAGTCACGAAGGAAGTTCCGTCAACTGCCACGGCTAAAATCGAAGCCGTCAGTCTGCAAGAGACGATCGTCGGCGAGACTGTCGCGGCGGAGGATGTAGCTCCGTCCAAAGAGGATAAGGCTCCTGACACAAAGACTGCGATGGTCTCAGTAGATCAAATCGAGAGTTTGCACACCACGATGATCGTAACAGGCGAGAAAGAGACCGAGTACGTCGATGTAGCCGACGTTAAGGGTACATTCGCGAATACCGAATACACAACACAAGTGGCTCCGGTGTGCGAGCAAGTAAGAACCGAATCGCCAACCCAAGAATACTTGCCGGAAGACAAACCTACCAGTGGAAAGGCACAATCGTCTCATATTCCTATAGAAACCATCAGCGTGACTATGCAAGAGACCGCGGAGAAGGAGGAGGCCTACAGAGCAGACGCGAGACCCGAAGGCAAAACAGCGAGCGTCGAACTCACGGAGACAAGAACAGGTGCGAGCATATTAGAAGTGATCCCGCACGACCTCGAGAATATCTACACACCCGACGTCGGACCAGAGTCTCACACGGTTGAGTCGTCTATAACCGGCCATACTATCGCGTCAACGGCGGAGATTCTGGTAGAGCAAAGTGCCGGGAAGATTAGCAGCGAAGTTCCTAAATCGAGTAAAGCAATACTCCAGCAAGAGGCTTTGGAAGAGTTGATCGTTACGGAAACGAATGTCGGCGAAGCTGAGCGAGTTAGAGACGAAGACACACGTCCCGTTGAACAGAGCGCAGCCCTTCAAGTCTGCGCTCGAGCTGAGAAGTTGACCGTCACCGAAGTGACGACTGTGTTGAAAGAGGAGGAATTGTCAGTAGAGAAGTTACCAGACAGCCGGCAAGTCGTGTTAGACATCACTGAGGGCCACGAGATAGCGGAGACACAGGAAACAATTCTCGCGAGTAACATAAGCGAACTGAAGGAGGAGAAACCAGTCCAGGAGAGTGCCAGTCAATCGCAAAGCGGACTGGACGTTGTTCAACAGATGGAAGTATCGATATCCGAGAAGGAATCTCCCCTGGCAGCGGACATGAAACCCGAGACCAAAAAGGTTGGCGTTACCTTCGAGGAAGGAGAAGGTCTGACAATCGCTATAACACATCCCGAAGACAAGGAAGACGTATTCAACGAGAAACCGACACCGAAAACCGCCGAAGCTACAGTCGACGTGGTGACGCAGGAAATAGCGTCCAAGTTCGAAATTCTAAGCAATGTCGCTCCAACCGAACTGCCCACCGAATCTGCTCAAGAAATGCATCCTAAAGCGACTCTGTTGCCATTTGAGACAGCCGTCGCTGAAGAAGTACACACCAGAGAGACCGAGAAGCCTTTCGATCACGTGCCAACGTCGGAAAGGAAAGCCAATCTTGAATTTGTTATGGGTGAAAGTCTCGTAGTCTCGTCCGTAACGGCAGAGGATAAGGAAAGCATACTCGCGGAAACGGAGAAACCAGAATCAAAATCCGCTATTTTCGACATTTCTGTTCATACTGTGGCACAAGCTGCCGAGGTAACTGCGACCGACAACGTCGGCCAATTCAAACGCGAGGAGACCATCTCCGCAACAGCCACGACTGAGCATATCACTCATCGTAGCATCGTCACGTCCGAAACATCAGCCGGTGATTCAGAGCAACCGATGCTGGACTTCGTGAAGCCGGACAAGAAACAAGTGGACGTGTCGTTCGAAGAGGAAACGGGCATCACCGTGATAGAGACAATTGCGTCTGACAAGGAACGGGAATACATGAAGAAACCGGATATTCCCGGTGAGAAAGTCACTACTAGCTTCGACGCTCACAAAGTTGCCGAGCTCTCGGAAGTTACAGCGATCGCTTACCCTGGAGATCTCGACATAAAGGTACCGACAAGTGCAGCGGCTAAAGAGGAACATTTGCCGTTTGAAAGCATCGTCCAAAGCGAAACTGTCGCGACAGAGAGAGAGGCAGAATTCAAGGATAAACCCGCCAAGACAGACACTGCTCGGATGGCTGTTGACGAAATTATTAGCGCCACCACGTCCACAGAGGTTCCAGCTGAGAAGGAGGACGTTCTTCGAATTCCTGAGAAGCCCACGGAAAAGAAGGCCGAGATACAATTCTCTGGGCACATAATTGCTGAAAAGAGCGAGGTCACTCCGGATTCCAGCGCTGGAGAATTGACAAAGACACAACCCAGCTCTGCTTCGGCTGTGCTCTCAAGCATCCCCTTGGAGGCGTTAGTACAAACGGAAACGCAAGCAACCGAAGCGGAGGATATACTTGGTAAAGACAAAGCACCGTCCACGGCCTTAGCCGACCTTTCCGTGGTAGTGGAGCAAAGTTTACAAGTGTCTTCGGTGATCTTAGAAGACAAGGAGGTCGAGTACAAGTCAAAGGAAACTCCAGAACTGAGAACAGCAGAAAAGAGCCTAATTGATACTCACGGCGTCGCCGAAGTGACGATGCAAGTGCCCGACTTCAGCACCGGCGAAGTCGTGGCCGGCGAAACGCCACAGGAAGCTGTCGCGGTTCCAGACCATATAGTGTTTAATCCGCTAGTAGAGTTGCAGCCTATCGTTCAAGAGAAAGAAGAACAATACGTGCCGGCGTTGATGCCGGAAAACAAGACGGTGAACATCGATATAGAAGAGGCAAAGACGATCGTGACTATATCACATGTGACACCCGCGGACAAGGAATCGCTGTACAAAATTGAAGAGCAGCCGCGCAAATACGCCGCTTCGCTCGGAATCGATGCCACTCACAGTATAGCTGAAACAACTGCGGTAGCAATTGAACATTCTGTGGGAGAAGTCAGCATCGAGAAACCGGATACTAAAACGGTATCGACCACGAGAGATGTCTACCAAAGTGTCTTGGTGACTGAAGGTCTAGTTCAGGACCAAGAAAAACCGTTCGAAGGAAAATTCATGCCGGAGCAACATAAGATCGGATTGTCTGTCGAAGAGGGACACCACGTCACGTCCGTCACAGAAATCAGAATGGCGGACAAGGAAGCTCCTCTGGAAACGATACAGGAGGACAGATCTCATTCGGCGCAATCGGTCGTTATACCCGGTCACGAAGTAGCCGAAAAGTCGGAAATCATTCCGGGTTCCAGCACGGGCGAAATAAGCGAGAAACAAGCACCGACAACGGCGGTTGCGTTAATTGGACAGAAACCTTTCGAGACGGTGCAGTTGAGCGAGCAGGTGCCGGTGGAAAGAGAAGTGGATACGATTCAGGAAACGCCATTGACGAAATCGAGTGCGCGCGTCGTGTTAGACGAAAACAGATTCGTTGCCATTACGGAATCTACTACCACTCAAGACGTCGAGGCGGAGTTCACCGAGAAGAAACTGCGTCAACAGACAGCGAGCCTCGCAATGGAAGGCAAAGAGGTAGCTGAACGTACAGAGATCAATTTGCGCGAAGGACTCGGAGAACTGCCCGCGGCATCGAAACCGACAACATATGAAGCACATCAGACGCAAACTACTTTGGAGAGTATCGGCGTCAGTGAGACAGTTTATCAAGAGCACGGTACGATGTTCACTGACAAATTTAAACCCGACGAGCGAAGCGCGGAAATCAGCTTCGTGGAGGGCAAAAGTATTACCGTGGGTCAAATCGTAACACAGGACAAAGAAGCCACAATGAGCATCCAAAAGCATGATGAAAGTACCGCTCAAGTCAGTCTAACGAGAGTTGGTATGGACGTCGCTCAAAAAGCCCAAGTTTTCATCGAACAAAGTACCGGCTCAATTAAGCCTTTCGAGAAGACTCAAGCAGAAGCCCACTTGAGGCAAGATACATTTGAACCTATCGTCGTTGAAGAAGTTCCAAGCGCGGAAAGTGAAGGTACTTTCAGTAAATATCCAAAGATGATATCCAGCATAGCCGTGCCGATGTTCGAAGAAGGTCATAGTGTATCTATCACAGAGGTGACATCTGGCGAAGCTGAAACATCACTGGAAGAGAAGAAACTCGAGACATCGCGAACAGCCACTCGTACACTTGTTACAGCAACTGACACGATAGAAACTACGATGGTGGAGTCGCGAGTTGATGTGCCTGAAGTCCCTGATAAAATTGCAATGCCTCAAATGGCCATACCGGCTCGCGACACGTTCGAAAGCATCATCGTTAACGAGAATCTTGTCGAAGAAAGCGAAAAGACGTTCGAGGGACTCTTCAAACCCGCAGTACAAAAAGCGAACATCGATATATCGGAAGTCAAGTCATTACAGATTTCAGAAACGTTTACCGAAGACAAAGAAGCGACGCTAGATATTGCCTCAAGAAGAATCGAAGCGAGAGCTACGCAAGACATCGACGTATTCCAGACTATCGAAGGTTCATTCGTCGAAAGTGTGCAGAGTACTCGAGAATTACGCGAGGAGAAGCCATTTTCCTCTCAAGCGACGATGATTCAAACTACAGTAGAAACAATAGTAAGATCTGAAATGACGCCAGTCGAAAAGGAGGACACATTTGAAGACAGATTTAAACCCGAAGAACAGAAAGGCAAGCCACAGTTCGACGGTCTTACTACAGTTCTGATCAGCGAAGTAGCTCCGAATGAAATCGAGGACATCTTGCCTGAAGCCGTTGCGCCAACACAACACCAAGCACAACCGAGCTTGATGGGCAGAGAGGCCGCAGAAATTTTCCAAATAGTTGCAGCGAGCACAATCGAAGATCTCGCGAAAGCTAAATTAGATGAACACAAAGGTAAACCAGGACTCGAAGAATTAACGTCCTTGACCGTTTCCGAGATTGTTTCAAATGAAGTGGAAGACGTTCTAATCAGTCAAACTACACCAAAAGATCGAAAGGCTGAATTCAGTGTTTCCGGAAGAGAAGCAGCCGAAACAACTCAAGTAACAGCGATGTCTGAAACCGACGAGTTTGCTACTAAAGGACCTGAAGAACAACGAGGCAAACGGCAAGTTGAAGAATTAACTTCCTTGACTATTTCTCAAGTGCTTTCGAATGAGGCTGAAGATACGTTAGTTAAGGACGAATTTCCTGCAACTAAAACAGCTCAACCAAATCTTTCTGGCAGAGATATCGCGGAAACGACGATGGTCTTAGCGATGGCTAGCACTGAAGAATACGTTCCCGCAAAGGAAACTAAGAAACAAACAGGCAAACCGGGTCTTGAGGAACTTACGTCTCTAACAGTCTCGCAGATAGTACCCCAGGAAGCAGAAGACGTTCTTCCTAGCGCCGAAGTACCGACTGAAAGAACGGTACAAACAAGTTTGTTCGGTAGAGATGTGGCAGAAACCACGGAAATAACGATGGTTTCGAATGTAGGCGAATTGGCCGAAAGTCGAATGCCCGATATACAAAAGGGAAAACCAGACATCGAGGAATTACAACCCTTGAGCGTAACACAAACCGTATCCAGTGAAGCGGAAACTGTTTTGCCTGCTGCAGAGATACCTAAAGAAAAAACAGCTCAAACTGATCTGACTGGCAGAGACGTAGCCGAAACGACTCAAATCATAACAATGATAAGCACAAAAGAACTTGCGAAACAACTTGCACCAGATGAACGTAAGGGAGAGTTTATAGTGGAAGAATTATCCTCGTTGACTGTATCTCAAGTAATTTCTAACGAAGCAGAAGATACGTTAGTTAAGGACGAATTTCCTGCTGGAAAAACAGCTCAACCAAATCTACTCGGTAGAGATGTCGCAGAAACGACGATGATCTTAGCGATGTCTAGTACCGAAGAATATCTACCGACGAAAGAAGCTGAGAAACAGAAAGGAAAACCAGGTCTCGAAGAATTAACATCTTTAACGGTTTCACAAATAGTATCTCAAGAAGCTGAAGACGTTCTACCTAGTCCCGAAGTACCGACTGAGAGAACAGTACAAACAAGTTTGTTCGGTAGAGATGTAGCAGAAACTACGGAAATAACAATGGCATCAAATGTAGGTGAATTGGTCGAAAGCCGAAAGCCCGACATCCAAAAAGGAAAACCTGACATCGAAGAATTACAACCCTTGAGCGTAACACAAACCGTATCAAGCGAAGCGGAAGCCGTGCTGCCTTCTCCAGAGGTGCCTAAAGAAAAAATAGCGCAGACCGATTTGTTTGGTAGAGACGTAGCTGAAACGACACAAATTATAACAATGATAACTGCGGAAGAACTTGCAAAACAGCTTGCACCCGATGAACGTAAGGGACAGTTTATGGTGGAAGAATTATCTTCATTGACCGTGTCTCAAGTTATTTCTAACGAGGCAGAAGATACGTTAGTTAAGGACGAATTTCCTGCTGGTAAAACTGTTGAACCAAATCTTTTCGGTAGAGATGTCGCAGAAACGACGATGGTCTTAGCAATGTCTAGTACCGAAGAGTATCTACCGACGAAAGAAGCTGAGAAACAGAAAGGAACACCAGGTCTCGAAGAATTAACATCTTTAACGGTTTCACAAATAGTATCTCAAGAAGCTGAAGACGTTCTACCTAGTCCCGAAGTACCGACTGAGAGAACAGTACAAACAAGTTTGTTCGGTAGAGATGTAGCAGAAACTACGGAAATAACAATGGCATCAAATGTAGGTGAATTGGTCGAAAGCCGAAAGCCCGACATCCAAAAAGGAAAACCTGACATCGAGGAATTACAACCCTTGAGCGTAACACAAACCGTATCAGGCGAAGCGGAAGCTGTGCTGCCTTCTCCAGAGGTGCCTAAAGAAAAAATAGCGCAGGCCGATTTGTTTGGTAGGGACGTAGCTGAAACGATGCAAATTATAACAATGATAACTGCGGAAGAACTTGCGAAACAGCTTGCACCCGATGAACGTAAGGGAGAGTTTATGGTGGAAGAATTATCCTCATTGACCGTGTCTCAAGTTATTTCTAACGAGACAGAAGATACGTTAGTTAAGGACGAATTTCCTGCTGGTAAAACTGTTGAGCCAAATCTTTTCGGTAGAGATGTCGCGGAAACGACAGTAGTCTTAGCAATGTCCAGCACCGACGAGTATGTTCCCACGAAAGAAGCTGAAAAACAAAAAGGCAAGCCGAGTCTCGAAGAACTTACATCTTTAACAGTGTCGCACATAATATCTCAAGAAGCCGAAGACGTTCTTCCTAGTCCAGAAGTACCAACCGAAAGAACGGTGGAAACAAGTTTATTAGGTAGAGATGTAGCTGAAACTACAGAAATAACAGTGGCTTCAAATGTGGATGAATTGGTTGAAAGTCGCAAGCCCGACGTACAGAAGGGAAAACCAGATATTGAGGAATTGTTATCCTTGAGCGTAACACAGACAGTATTCAACGAGGCGGAAGCTGTACTGCCTTCTGCAGAGGTACCTACTGAGAAAGTTGCGCAAACTGATTTGTTTGGTAGAGACGTAGCCGAAACAACTCAAATTGTGACAATGATGGCCACGGAAGAACTCTCGAAACATATAACACCTGACCAACGTAAGGGAGAGTTCAAGGTGGAAGAATTGTCTTCGTTGACTGTATCGCAGGTAGTTTCCCACGAGGCTGAAGAGACGTTAGTTAAAGACGAGTTTCCTGCAGAGAAAAAGGCAGAACCTAATCTGTTTGGTAGAGATATCGCGGAAACGACGATGGTTTTAGCGATGTCGAGCACGGAAGAGTATGTTCCCACAAAGGAAGCTGAAAAACAAAAAGGCAAACCCGGTCTCGAAGAACTTACATCTTTGACGGTGTCGCAGATCGTTTCAGAAGAAGCCGAAGACCTTCTACCAAGTCCTGAAATACCAACCGAGAGGACAGTGCAAACAAGCTTGTTCGGTAGAGATGTAGCTGAAACTACAGAAATAACAGTAGCTTCAAACGTGGACGAATTGGTCGAAAGTCGCAAGCCCGACGTACAGAAGGGAAAACCAGATATTGAGGAATTGTTATCCTTGAGTGTAACACAGACAGTATCCAACGAGGCGGAAGCTATATTGCCTTCTCCAGAGGTACCTACAGAAAAAATTGCACAAACCGATTTGTTTGGTAGAGATGTAGCAGAAACGACTCAAATTATAACAATGATAAGTGCAGAAGAACTTGCGAAACAACTAGCACCCGATGAACGCAAAGGAGAGTTCAAAGTGGAAGAATTATCTTCGTTAACTGTTTCTCAGATCTTGTCACATGAAACTGAAGAGGCTTTCCAGAGGCCTGATGTACCTAGTGGACTTAAAGCGATGCCTGCGATGTCCGGTAGAGAAATTGCTGAGACCTCTCAGATGATTACTATGTCGAATGTTGAAGAATTTGTTAGACCCAAGAGTCCAGAAGAACAAAAAGGAAAACCAAGTTTAGACGAACTTTCCTCTCTCATGGTTTCTCAAGTGATGTCTACAGAACTTGAAGAACAAATGGCGAGCCCGGAAAAGTTGGATGAAAAAACAGCCGAATCACATTTCACGGGTAGGGAAGTAGCGCAAACGACTGAAATCGTAACGGTCGCGAATGTTGAGCAAATAACCGAGTTGAAAAAAGCAGATAGTCATAAAGGAAGGCCCGACGTTGAAGAATTAAATGTCGTTGCTGTATCTGAAGTAATTTCTACAGAAGCAGAACAAGAATTACCTAGTCAGGAGGCTCCGAAAAAACATAAAGCTCTACCAAAAGTATCCAGCATAGAAGTCGCGGAGACTTCGGAAGTTATGACAGTGAGTAACGTTGAAGAATTTACTAAACCACAAGTTCCCGAGGAACACAGAGGTAGGCCAAACCTAGAAGAATTGATGTCGTTGTCAGTCTCCGAGGTGGCTTATAGTGAGGCTGAAAAGGGATTATTGACTCCAGAAGAACCAACTAAACAAACAGCCGAACAGAGTATGTTGAGTATGCGCGTTGCTCAAAAATCTCAAGTGGTTACTTCTGCAACGGCAGAGGATATGATAGAAACCACTAAGCCTGAAACAAAGAAAATAACACCAGAACAAATACCGTTTGAGAGTATACAACAAACGCAATCCGTTCCTCATGAAAGCGAAGAATTGCTTGTGCTCGATAGGACAGTACCAAAAGAAACTGCAGAAGTTGCATTCCGTGTTTCTGAAGGACTTGAAGTTATCCAAGTAACCGTTACAGAGAAAGAAGCAAAAGAAGTTGTGAAAGGCCAAGCCAAGGAAGCGAGCGCGCAAGCTGATGTAATTAAACGAAAGGTTGCTCTGAAAACCGAAATTCTTCCAGAAGACGTAGCATCGGAATTTATTGTTTCAAAGCCAGAAGGTAAAACAGCCCACGGAGTAAAAGAAGAAAAACAGGGCGTGATTGTGACCGAATTACAACACGCTGCTGAAATTGAATCAAATCTGCCCGAAACCGTAGTACCTTTAGGAAAATTAGCGAGCACGTCTATCGAAGCCGACTACTTGGAACAAGTTATGGGTGAGTATTATTCTTCTAAAGAGGTAACATAATTGTCACTGACAAATCGGACACGACGTTTAGAGAAACTCGACTCGATGTAACACGATGACCATGATCGATGACATCTAACATATTGAACAGTTAGACAAATTAGACAGGAAACAAAATATTAGCAATGCGATAGAATTAGTGGTAACAATTTTATTTGGTAACAATTTTCAAATAGGCTAACGCATTTAAAATCAACATAATTTTAAGATATAGCTTCGCCTCAGGTAAGTGCAAACACGATCAAATACAACTTCAAATATCATCAATATGTCAAACAAAATTCCACCATGTACAGTAAACATATATATTGAAGAAAACAAATCATTCCCTTATACCGCATTTAACTTGCAACCAATTTTGCCATGCTTGACGCGAAACAACCCTCAACGTAAGAGTGTTCAATAATTTTAAGTAGCTAAAGAAATGTTTGATATTAAAATACATGGGACTAATAGTAAGTAACGCAAATGGATCCACGAAACACGTAGACAACTTAATCATACCACACTTATTCTCTATACATTTCAGAAACAACAGAAGTATCAGCCCAACATCACATCACAATCACACAACACATCACAGAACACGATATAACACATCAACCATCGATTGATTCTGATACTGAAGTAACTGAAGAATACACTACAAAATTTAGACGTGGCAGTAAAGACGATGAAACAGCAGCGGTAAAAACAAAGAAAACGACAATACGCAAAAAGACACCGAAAACAAAATCTGAGGAGGAAAAAGTTGTTGTTATCGAAGAAGAAATCGAAGATGTAAAATCGCAAATTCCATCAATACCGAAAAAACAATTTATGCACATAGAAGAAGTAACAGAAATGACAGGAATAGAAGAAATAATACCGACAAAAATAGAAGAATCCGAAGAAAAATCTATTAAACCAATTGAAGAAAAAGAAGTGGATAAAAAAACAATAGATAAACGCAAGCCTGCCATAACCATAACAGTAAGCCCAGTTGACGAAATCACTAAAGACACAATATTATCTCCAAAACATCCTGAAATGATCAAGCCAGATGTTGAAGAACGAGAGGAAGTGACAGTAACAGAAGAACAAGTTGAAGGAGAAAAACCAAAACATATAACGAAAAAGAAAATCATAAAACAAAAAGAAAAAACACGGCAAATAACGGAAGAAGTTACCATTGAAGAAAAAGATAAACATCCCGTAATTACCATGACAGAAGGGCCAACAGAGGAAATTGTGGAACATACTATATTTTCTCTACCACTTCCCGAATTTGTAAAACCACAAGATGTGGAAGAAGTTCGTGAAAAAGTAACAGTAACAGAGGTAATTGTAGAAGGAAAAATGCCAAAGAAAATCACGAAAAAGAAAATTATTAAACGTGAGGGACAACAACAACACGTCACTGAAGAAGTTACTGTCGAAGAGAAAGGTAAATCTCCCGTTACTACTGTAACAGAAGAACCAACAGAGGAAATTGTAGAAGATACTGTATTGCCTCTACCACTTGCTGAGTTTGTAAAACCACAAGATGTGGAAGAAGTTCGTGAGCAAGTAACAGTAACGGAGGTAATTGTAGAAGGAAAGATGCCAAAGAAAATCACAAAAAAGAAAATTATTAAACGTAAGGGACAGAAGCAGCAAGTCTCGGAAGAAGTTACTGTCGAAGAAAAAGGTAAATCTCCCGTTACTACTGTAACAGAAGGCCCAGAAGAAGAGATTGTTGAAGAGACCATATTACCGCTAGTAACTCCCGAGTCTGTCAAACCAGAGGATGTAGAGGAAGTTCGAGAACAAGTCACAATAACAGAAGAAGAATTGGAAGGAATGAAACCAAGAAAAATTACGAAAAAGAAAATTATTAAACGTAAGGGAAAGAAGCAGCAAGTCACTGAAGAAGTTACCGTCGAAGAGAAAGGTAAATCTCCCGTCACTAGTGTGACAGAAGGACCAACAGAGGAAATTGTGGAAGATACCATATTGCCCCTACCACTTGCTGAGTTTGTAAAACCACAAGATGTGGAAGAAGTTCGTGAGCAAGTAACAGTCACGGAGGTAATTGTAGAAGGAAGGATGCCAAAGAAAATCACAAAAAAGAAAATTATTAAACGTAAGGGACAGAAGCAGCAAGTCTCGGAAGAAGTTACTGTCGAAGAAAAAGGTAAATCTCCCGTTACTACTGTAACAGAAGGCCCAGAAGAAGAGATTGTTGAAGAGACCATATTACCGCTAGAAACTCCCGAGTCTGTCAAACCAGAGGATGTAGAGGAAATTCGAGAACAAGTCACAGTAACAGAAGAAGAATTGGAAGGAATGAAACCAAGAAAAATTACGAAAAAGAAAATTATTAAACGTAAGGGAAAGAAGCAGCAAGTCACTGAAGAAGTTACCGTCGAAGAGAAAGGTAAATCTCCCGTCACTAGTGTGACAGAAGGACCAACAGAGGAAATTGTGGAAGATACTATATTGCCCCTACCACTTGCTGAGTTTGTAAAACCACAAGATGTAGAAGAAGTTCGTGAGCAAGTAACAGTCACGGAGGTAATTGTAGAAGGAAGGATGCCAAAGAAAATCACGAAAAAAAAAATTATTAAACGTAAAGGACAGAAGCAGCAAGTCTCGGAAGAAGTTACTGTCGAAGAGAAAGGTAAATCTCCAGTTATTACAGTAACAGAAGGCCCAGAAGAGGAGATTGTTGAAGAGACAATATTACCACTAGTAACTCCTGAGTCTGTCAAACCAGAGGATGTAGAGGAAGTTCGAGAGCAAGTAACAGTAACAGAAGAAGAAGTGGAAGGAAAGAAGCCAACGAAAATCACAAAAAAGAAAATTATTAAACGTAAGGGACAGAAGCAACAAGTCACTGAAGAAGTTACAGTGGAAGAGAAAGGTAAGCATCCAGTCACTACTGTGACAGAAGGACCAACAGAAGAAATTGTGGAAGATACTGTATTGCCTCTACCAATTGCCGAGTTTGTAAAACCGCAAGATGTGGAAGAAGTTCGTGAACAAGTGACAGTAACGGAGGTAATTGTAGAAGGAAAGGAGCCAAAGAAAATCACGAAGAAGAAAAGCATTAAACGTGTAGGTCAAAAACAGCAAGTCACTGAAGAAGTTACGGTTGAAGAGAAAGGTAAATCTCCCGTTACTACTATAACAGAAGGCCCAGAAGAGGAAATTGTTGAAGAGACTATATTACCACTAGTAACTCCCGAGTCTGTCAAACCAGAGGATGTAGA